TTTCAATTAGATCTTGGGGGGGGTGATAGATAACTCCACTCCCTCTCTGGGCCTCCCTTTTTCCCTTCTCTGCTATGCTAGGTCCAGGGGCAAGGTCTGTGGCCCCCAGGGTTCTTGACACCCACCCACACCCGTTCCATGCCATGACAGCTGAGCCATGGGGGAAGGGAGCTGTCTCTCACCTGCCCCTCAGAGTAAGCTCCTCAGCAGCCTCAGGCCAGGCCCAGAACCTCCTGTGCTCTTGTGTCCTCCTGAATAGGTCTCCTTACCAGGTCTTGCAGAACTGCCTGCTAACTGGTGGCCCAGCCAGGCAAGCTGACTTGAGGGTGCACACACGTGACGGGGAGGCAGTCATGGTCTTTTGCTAAGGTTATACCTCTTGCCCACACTCACCCAAATAAAGAGAACATAGAGTTACGCCAAGTTTGGGTGAGATTTGCCCCTTCCCCAGCTGTTTTTGCTGCTTCCCAGTGCCTGGGCCAAAAGTCCACCCCTGGGGCTGAGGCTGGGGACAGATGGGACCTTGCCTATAGTAAGAGCCCCTTTCTGTCCCCCCACCCCCAGAGTTTTACAAAGAATTGGCCTGGGTCCCTGAGGCACAGAGGAAACACACAGGTAGGGGCACCTCCCTCCACCCTGACGTTTGCAGCAGTCTTTGACTAGGGTGCCCACCTGTCCCGTGCCCACCGCTGCCTGCTGTCTTTCAGCCAAGAAAGCACCAGACGGCACTGTCATCCCCAATGGCTACTGTGACTTTTGCCTGGGGGGCTCCAAGAAGACTGGGTGTCCCGAGGACCTCATCTCCTGTGCAGATTGTGGGCGATCAGGTGACACTCACCACATTTTCCTGGAAGATGCAGGGGAGGGGACACCCCAGAATTCAAATTTGGGGAATGGGAGGCAAGGGAGTAAAGACCCCAGGGCACAGTGGTTTGGCAGAGCCTAGGGGCTGCCCCTGCTGCTAAGGACTGTGGGAAGCTGAGCGGGATCAATGTAGGAACAGTATGAGGTGTCATGGCTTTGTGTCTTCCTGGTATGGAGAATGGACAGAAGCCGCAGAGGCATTGTGGGTAGGGGGACTGAGGTACGGGAGTAATGAATTGCACCACCTGGTTGCTGTAGAGAACAGACTAGAACTGTGGTTAATAGAATGTGGTTTCTCATGGAGGTCTCATGGGTAGTAGCATGGGTAATGGATTGTGGTTGTTGCAGTATGGGTTGTCTTGGCAATTTAATACAACGGAATGTGATTGTTACGGCATGGTGGACCATGGCTGTGAGATGCCATGGGTAGTGGCTGTGGGGACGTGGCTACTGGCCTTTGGGCAGTGTGGGCAGTAGCTCTGGCTGTCAGGCTGTGTGGGCTGTTGGTGTCTGGCTCTGTGGGAAGTAGTTGTAACTGTTGGGTGTTGTGGACAGTGGCTGTGGGTGTTGGGCGCTGTGGGAAGTGCTGTGTGCAGTGGCCACAGGTGTGTCTGTGCTGGTTTGGGAGAACAGACTAACACTGAAAGTATTTATTGTCAGTGGCGGTTTGTTTGCTGGTGCCTTGTGTGGCATGGCCTTTGGTTTCATGGAAGCGGTTGCTATAGCATCCTGGCTGGGAGAAGGCGGCTGCCACGTTGCTGGGGTTAACATGAGGGCTGGCCGCCGCTCTGCTGTGGGTATTGGAATGTGGCCGCCGAGTGCGAGTGAGGTGCTTTAACAGACTGTGGTTGCCACAGTGTTGTGGGTGGTAGGACGCGGTTGCCACAGCACCGTGGGTAATGGAATGCGGTTGCCATGGTATTCTGGGGAGCAGAGTGTGGTTGTCATGGTGGCTGAGTAGGAGACTGTGGTGGCCGACACACAGCTGCTTGCCAGCAGTCCTGCTTCCTGATGTCTGTCTGTCTTGGGGGTAGGGTCCCCACCACCAAGCTCATCTTGACCTCTGAGTCAGGGGTGGGGGATAGAGCCATTACTTCCCCAGGGGTACAACGACCTGCTAACTGCACCCCTGCCCCTCGGTCCCCAGGGCATCCCTCGTGTTTACAGTTCACGGTGAACATGACCGCAGCGGTGCGGACTTACCGTTGGCAGTGCATTGAATGCAAGTCTTGCAGTCTGTGTGGCACCTCGGAGAAC